TAATCCCATAATCCAACACAGTCTAGCCAAGTTAAGCAAGGTAAAAATATTCGACTCTATTTTCCCGTTCTTTTAAAACGCCGGGGCGTGCGAAAAGCGAAAAACTTCCGCCCGTTTTGCTACGGAATATAAATAAGGGAAACAATTTAGAAACCATTTGTCACCGGTTTTCCGGACTTGGCGTCCTCCCCTCCAGCCCAGCATCAGTGGCAGAAAAAAGGTTTAAACGAAATTTTAATTTCGACAAGAAGGGTTTCACAAAAAGGAATTTGGTCGTTATAAAAAGACATTTTTTAACTTTTTTTTTCCTTTTTATTATTTCTGCTGACGGCTGGAATTCCATTATTTACGTCTCTCCTTCTCGCAACTCCTACTAATAATACTGATTATAAAAATAATTAACTCAATGGGGTAGTAATACTATGTATGAGAATCAGTAAAAATACTGCTATAGGCTAAATGGTGATGGTATAGTGGGATACTAAATTATTTTTCAGCATAGTGTCTATAGAATTAGTCAGAGGAAAACAAACTGTAATTTGAATTTAGCGCCACAGCGGCGACCAATAGTATTCGAGCCGCTGACCATCTGGCAACGCTGCTCAAAATGCCTCTAAACGACAGCTGACTCCAACAGTTCAACGACGTGTGGTGTCGTGTGAATCGTGTGACATGTGACATTGTCACAGTAACTTGTTTACGTCGTTTGATGCAGTAGATTTAACGTTTCGTTCTTGACGGTCAATGTCAGTGCAAATTGTGCGTTCTCAAAACCGTGATGTGTTGCCAGATTGGAAAAACTAACTACGTCACGAACTTTCATTTTCACGTAGCGACGGGCGGGGCTAAGACGAAATTTAAAAAACGAAATTCCAGCATATTGCGGTTTTTACAAAGCAACTGATTAGTACGATACATCAAGTATATCAATACGCAGTAGTTAAAAATCACTTGTATACTACCTCATTATTGAGTTAGTTATTTGAATAGTTAAAAAAGTTGAATACCATTAAAAAATAACTGTTATAGCAGCTGCAATAACTTTCAAGCAAGCAGAAAAATTCCAGATTTTAAATTAAACTCCCGATATACGTGTGTTTAGCTTAAAAACGCAAGCGAAAAGAGAAAAATATTTAAAGCGCGAAAGAAAATGTTATTTTTTCGCTGCTGAGGCACTCCGTGGTTGGTTTTAAAAACCAGCAACTTTTTTTAGATTTTCAGAGTTTATTTTAGGTACGTCTAATGATAAAACCGTGAAAAAGCTTTTTAATATTTCAAGTTGAATAATATTTGACCTAATTTTTATAGCGTAAGAGGTTTTATGGTTCCCATAATTCTGCAAATTTCGAGTTTCTCTTGATAATCTATTACAAGAAATTCGTTTTTGATCGCGATTTTCTTACTAGTATCAAGCAATATTACAAAAAAATACATACTTTTTACTCTAAACATATATTAAATAGGAGTGAGTTATATTGTAAGACCCTATGTATGTTATCATTATACTAATAATTCTCCTTTCCTATGTTAATTATAAGCGTATGCCTCTGTCAAAACTTATAATAATATAAAACTGCCTACTAAGCGGTACTGCACTGCAAGTACCACCATTCCGCCAACGCAAATGCTGGCATCAGCAGTTATTTCTTATAAATACAGCGAACAGAGCTTCCTGGAGCTCATTCTATTATTTTGTAGCCAGACTATAGTAATTAGAATCAGGTTCATTTGTTTTCGACTTTTACGTCGCAGCAATTTGATCCACATATTTTCTTTTGTCACCATTGTTTTAATTAATAAAATAAATGTTTTTTAAAAATACAAATTTCTGAATCGAAAATATAATTGGCGTGTCGAAGCCATCAAAATAATGTACAGGACGTGGACATTTTATACTTTTTTATTTTGTAAAACACTACAACGTTGCAAAACTAATAAGGTATATTAGTTATATTAACCAATTGCCAGGCTAATTTATGATCAATTATCCATTTTTTATATGCTTTGATGAGCTTACCCCTTTCCTTTATGACTTTTTAAACAAATTGTTGTAAACATCAAGTTGCTATATCGGCATTAAATTCCTATTTAAGCCAGCGCAGTCCCATAAGGAACGTTCATTTGTTTTCAAGCTTTTGCTGTAGTAATTTGATCCAACTATTTTCTTTTGTCACTTCTGCATTTTAATTAATTAAATAATAGCTATTTATATAACAAGTACATAAAGCCTGTTTGTGTAAGCGTTATATACATGATTTTATGTACGATTTGCGACTGGGATTTGTTAAAAATTGAAAAAAAATTTAATGAAAAAATTAAAATTCGCGTAGGAACACCTGTTTCACCTTGGTAGTTTGTCAGGACCTGTTTCACCATGGCAGATTGTCAGGTAGTCCAGATAGGCAATAAAGTAGCACTTTATTGACGCAAAACTGTTCTATTAGTCCAGGAGGCAGTGAAATTTTTGAGCACCTATTTTCCCAGTTGGTGTCTATTGAATAGTTTGTTCTCCTGGTGATACAAAAAAAGAATATTTGAGTTATGGCTAAAATTTTCGGATGGGTTCACAATATCAATGAAAAATACAAGTACACTTATTTTCCCAGACATAAATATTTCACATTTACTACAATAGAATATAAAGTATATGATAATAGCAATTTGGTTTATCTCAGATAGTGGAAAGTGAGTCTGGCTGAAAATTTTCGCTCTTAAATTTTTCACTTGCCAGACATATTATTCATACTCACAGATTAGCCGGACTATTTTTATACGTAACTTCAGTATACTTCTTATTAGTAAATCTATTTTTATCACTGAAAAAAATAAGGGCCGCGCATTCGTAAGCTCTTTAACGCATTTTGCGTCTCAACCCATCGGAAAACCTCTCCTAAAAATATATGAATTTTGCTTAGAATTACCATAGAATAGTAATATTAAACATCTGTAATAGAACAAACGTAGGGTAGGCCGGGGACAAAAGTAACATTTTGGCTTAGGAGCCTTGTAGTAATTACGGTTTGTGTCTATTGTTAACTTGAGATATATCTAACATTGAAGATATGTTTTTATCAATAACCTAGCATATAAGTGAATTAATGAAAGGCTTCATAAGTCAGATAACAGGTTTTTGGTTCTCGCATGCAAACTGTTACAACTGTCCCGTATACAGGGACAGTTGTAACAAAGCCTGGGGACAAAAGTTACACAATAATTTTCCTTGTTTTCTGACTGAACAAGGATAAAATGAAATAAACTTAAATTTATATTTGTTTTTTTATTTGAAAGATACATCTAAAAGATAAATTAACAGTGTTATTCAGATTCACAATTTTGACAAGTATACAAAACATCACCCTTGGTACAATCTTCATGAGACCAGCCTTTACACTCACCGCACTGCACCCACCTTTCTCCTGCTTTACTTGAACTGTAAGTCTCTAAACACACTAGGCAATAGGTTTCCTCTTCGTCGCTGCTTGTGTCTGATCCTGGTTCGATTATGGCTTGCTTTTTATTTTTTGATTTTTGCACGGTTGTCTTTTCTACATGTTTATTTTTTTCAACTTCAAAGCCAAAATTTTTCTTGACCTGTTTCTGTTTTTTATTATCGACTTCCATTTGTATGGCATTTTTTTCTGGAGTGTCTGTATAGATAGCAGATTTTCGTTTTTTTCTATAATTAGAAGGTTTTTTTCTCGGAGGGGCTTTAGGCAGAGGTCTTACACTTTCAGGTGAAAACCCAATTTCAAAATTGTTTGCTTTGTCTGGTGGATTAGAACCTTGAATCATTTGATCAGGATTTGTTTGGGCTTTGGTTAAGGGTTTTGATTCTAGAGTCTGAATATTGGTGCTTGTAGAGGGAATTGGCTCTGGCGTCTCATTTCGGTAATCTGTGGGAGTAGGAGGATTTTCATTGACTGCTCTGTTAGGTTCCTCTTCTGGAATAGGTTCCGGCCGGTCTGTCACGTAGGACGGTGAAAAATCAATTTCTGTAAACTTATTTCGGTTAAATGGTACGATACCGGTAGCACTAAAGCCAGCTTGAATATTAGTTTGTGTAAGTGCCAAAGGTAATGACAGCCTTACAACTTCTGGGATATTGTAAATAGTCATCGTCTTTCCAGGATTATTCCTAAGCCAGTTATCGCATGCAGCATTAACCGCTTTTTTGAAGGGGCCATATACCGACCGATCCAGTGGCTGAAGTTTATGAGAACAATGAGGTGGGAAAGAAAGTACGACAATGCCATTGCTTTTGCAAAAATCCAAAGCCTGTATTGATATGTGTGAAAAATGGTTATCCAGCAACAGAAGAACTTTTTGTGTGTTTGAAGAATGAGTGTGTCTTTGGAAATGTTCTAGAAACTGTAGAAACTCTTTTTCTTGCATCCATCCACTGGAATTACCCGCCCCTATTGATCCGATGGGGCCGTCCCTAATAAAATGGTCATGATATCGAATTCTAGGGAATATGAACATCGGCGGTGTTGAATTTCCAATGGCATTTATTGCTACTGTTACTGTGACAAGTGTTCCTCGTTCACCCGATGTCATCGCTCCCACTTGTCTTATGCCCTTCCTGGCAACGACCCGACTAGGTTTTTGAACCGTTGTAACCCCCGTTTCATCGACGTTATAGATGTCTTTGGCTTCAAAATGATCCCTGTCTAAAACTTTTTGCAAATTGTCAAAAAACAAGCTGACATTCGCGGCATTAAAACTAGTAGCCCTAGACAGACTAGTCGGTTGAGCACATCGGATAGACAATTCTTGGTTCCGTTTCATAAATGAGGTGAACCAGTCTTCTCCTGCCATCTTATTCACATCCCACTTGTTAGGCCTTTTTATCTCATATTTTACAGCTAGTTCATATGCTAACTTCCTTATTTCTTTTGGTGGAAATCCATAATAAATTTCAGCTGCTCTAATAATGTAATTCACCATAAGTTTTTCTTGTTCTGTGCTGAATATGCGATTGCAGCTTCTGTACCCCATACTGACTTTTGCTTCTTCAATTGTTGTTGTTTTGCGACCATATCGCATAAGTGAAACGTGGCAAAGATCGTATTTTTTGGCTGCAGCACGAATAGATAAACCATCATTTGTTACTTCACTGTAAGCTTGCTTGTAAATTGAGAGATCCTTCTTGCCTCTTTCTGTCTTCCTTTGCCTTGTGCGAGGCATCCTGAAACGCAAAACACATGCTATAAATGTATTTTGTATAATAATGGTAATACCGGGGACGTTTGTAACACGTTACAACTGTCCCCAGGTGTTACTGTTACAATTATCCCCGAAAGAAATTTGTATAATCAAACACCATTTTTAGGTTCTATCCAAAATATTTTTGATCCATAAATGCACTGAAATATAGAGTAATAGTCCCTTAATCATATTAGGAGAGTTTATAAAAAGAATAAATCTAATCGGAAAGCATATTTTCAGTTTTTGTACTTACGTAAATATTTACTTTTCACTGCCGAAAACACATTCGATTTGCCGCACCACATGAACCGCGTCTAAGATGGCCGGTAACTAGAATATGAGTGCGTATTGAGTAGACGCATCGACCTGCACGAGCAAAAGCGCGGTTGCCACTAACGTTCGAAAGTTAGAGCTGCTGCTACTATTGTACCCTGTTACTTTTGTCCCCGGTCTACCCTAATATTTTCTAATAGTTGTTGCTGTAGCTGGCCGCCCAAGTACTCTGTTGATTTTTAAAGGTTAGATGGTATATGCGAGCGGTTTATTGATGCTAGTTATTTCCTTGGGTAGCTACAGAATTAAATGCTGAAGGGGGTTTACTTGCAAAAGAGAGAAACAACTGCAGTATTTCCACACATATTATACATATTTAATTTTAAATAAATGAAACCAAATTTTTCCAATAATAATATACAGTACTTAAATTTCTACTCAAATTTTCCATTAATAAAATTATACAGTACTAAAATTTCTACTGAAATTTTCCAGTAATAAAATTATACAGTACTAAAATTTCTACCCAAAAACTCTTCTCATGTGGCTTACAAATCAGGCTTTTCCATGAGGGCTCTTCTTGGATCATCCTTTCTAAAGGTAAATCCTAACGTGAGCAAAACCCTGCCTAAACTTGACTGGGAACCGTAATAAATTTCACTTTCTTTCAGCCTATCACTTACAGTCTGAGGGGAACATATGCAATTCTAAAAACGAAAAATGCTTGTTTAAATATTGTAGTACTGTAGCAACAGCAAATATTACTGATTTTAGTTAGTATATCTTGTTCAATTAGCTTTGAGACTTTCGTCAATAATGACACCGAGTGTATTCTTATGGAATTTGCTGGTGACACCATTATAACGTAACTCTTAAAGGTAATTGAACAAAGTAACTTAGTATTACTATTTAACACCAGTCCCTATAACAAAAAGACTACTACCCAAAAATGAACTAAAATTACCCAGTCTAGTTTGTGTTAGTGAAATGGCTTAAACTTATAATTGAAGAAGAGAGGAGTATGCATTCTGTGTAATAATTTATTAAGAAAATCCGCCGAGTGCTTCCGGCCTTAAGTCATCACCAGTGCTGCTTCGTCGCAGGTACAAACATCACACACAAGAGACAACTGACACAAGTGGACGTGCATAATTAAATTTAACTATTAATTAATCAATTACCTGTGTAGTAATTGGTTTTTTACCAAAAACTGCTAAATAATATAAAAAAGGAAGAATAACAGTAAGAGGTGGGCGACAGATGGGACATTGCCCCTCTAAATAATTTATACAAGCATAATATTAGATGATACATTAAATAGGAAGTTTAATTAGTGATACCATGTTTAGAGGTACCAAAGTCCACTAGAAAATATAACAACACAAAATGCTAAACATCTGAAAAACAATAAACCCAACACACAGGATAAAGCATGCAGCAGAAGTTACAGAAGCTCTGCAAATATCTGAACCCAAACTGTGTAGGTACGTCAAAGAGGGGAATATGAATACTTATTCTTATGAAAGACTCTAATAACTCAGGTACCTTTATTGAAAAGCAAGAAAACAATTCTAAAAAATATCATGAAATTATGGAATGAAAGAAATCCTAGCAGCATCTTAATTTGTGTTGACCTGAAATAAAAAATAGTATTAAACTATGAAAAACAGTTTAATTTGATCTGAGAAGTTCCAATGTTATCAGGTGTATTCTTTCGGAATAATTTACTGGTAATGTTAATATGAAGTAACATTGAAACAACTCTATGTTCAAAGTAGAACAACAACTTACTCTCAGTATACATTTTGTATATCTCTAATCGAATAGTCTGTTTGACGCTTCCACTTGAATCAGTTGTCTGCAACTTCTTACGCTTCCGCGTGACAGGGGTAATTTCAGACTCAACTGAACCATCCTTATATTTATAGACAGTGGTCTCACTTAGTTTCAAAACCTTAGCTGTTTCCTAGAAAGGCAATGGAACAGTAAATTACAATTTATTTATTAAAAATTAACAAAAGCCACTCGGTTCGAAAATATCCCCTTCCAAAACTTGTACCTACATTTACTGAGATTAAGACGAAAACGTTTCTATGATCAATCAAGACTAACTTTATTGTTATTAACTTACAGTTATGGGATTTTGATCTTCATGAGACACCTTGAAATGGTTGTATACGAGTTGTATAAATTGCTGAGCCACAGGGTTCCCATGAATTATTGGTCTCTACAAAAGGATTATTTGCTTATTTTTACTAAATTTGAAAACACTACCTTGTCACTTTCCCTCTTGCTTAGAAAAAAAAAGATTCGTCTCGTAAAGAAGAAGCATCTCCAAGGTTTATTGCTGTTCCCTGAAAATTATTGGCGATGAATTATGACTGTGGTAATTTAAAGTTGCCAATTTTACCGTATTTTCTTCACACCTAAATCATCTGAGATGCTGGAACAGAGCAAAGTCTCCAGGACCCTGGTACGATCGGACTTGTCCGGGGACTTTTCTGTCATCGCTAATAAGAAAACGGCACTTTTAAAATCGTAATATTGTGTAAGTATTAGGTTTAACTTACCTGAAGAAGATAAAATAAACCAGATAAGTCTTGATAGAGTCCAAAGTGAAAACTTATAAAAAGACAAAACACTTAAATCCGAACTAAAACCAGGTTAGAAATGAAACGCAACACCGAAACACAAAGGCACAGAACACTACATAAAAAACCATAAAACCGATTGAGAATATAACAAAATATCAAAAAATAATGCAGAAAATGGCAATAAACTAAAACGATCTCGCCCAAAAATTCGAAATTCAAAATTCTAAGATCCGAATCTGATAATTTTATATGTCAAATCGAAATGTCATGTATCATTATTTGATGGTTGACAGAAAAAGGGACAGATCTAGGGATTTTATTTACTTTCAACTGGTGAAAATAACGGTCAAAATTTAAACTCTATCGTGAATACGACTATAGCAATAATTACTGATAATAATTGATAATGAACTTGACAACTTGATCGGGGAAACTGACTGACTGAGACTGATTGATGACAATTGTCAGACATGGTAGTAGTGGCTATGGCTCGATAGTGGCTATGGCGTCGCAAGGGTAGGCGTTACAATGGGTGGTATAAATAAAAACGAACTACGTGCTACTACTACAAGTACCTATTAGTATATTCTTCGCAGTATTTACTTCCCACTAATTTCCAGTAGCTTCGAAATGTAGTAGGTACTCCGTTTTGAAGTAAATACTACGTAAACTTCGTTTAAAGATAAAAGTCAAAATGACATTATGTTGGCAATAAAATGTAAAATTGTCAATGCTTTCAAATTTTTTACGTAGAAAAGGCTTGTGTTGCCAACATAGTTACTAAATTTTTGACTTGGGGAATTATCTTTAAAGAAAAAACAGACTTTAGAACATACTAATACTTGTAGTAGTAGCAAGTACTTCGTTTTTATTCATACAACCCATCAATGAATAATTGTTTATATTTATACATATTTATCTATATTGTTTACTTGGCTGATTCTCACTTGTTCGCGTTCTCGTTTGGTTGACAACGTTGTTATGACTTTGACAGTTCAGTTGTAGAACTTCAAGATTAGTTAAATCGTTAGTCAATAAAATTTGTCCGTTTATTTTATTTATACTCAATAAAAGTGATACAAAAATCAATATCATTTATGTACGTTGAAACCATCCTTATTTGCGCCCATTCGTTTTGTTTGCACGCTGTTTTAAATATCTAACTAAAACTACAAGTATTTCGCGTTGCAATTAAAAATCTCTATATACAAACGTGCATGAAATGGCTCTTTTCAGTCCTTAATGGTCGTTTAATTGTTAAACAGACTTCAAAATAGGATTAATCTTTTGTTTCATTATGCCAAGCCTGATGGATTTAATATCTTACATTTTGTCAAATAACAGCATTACGGGCATTAGCTATGCAATAAATGGCAATTAGCCTTCGATGGAGACAAAAGTGGAAGACTAATTATGAAGGTCGAAATTAAAACTGCAAAAATCATTTAAATTAAATTGCAACAGTGAACTAAACGAAAAAATCAACAAAGAACTGAAACGGGGTTAATTGAAAATAGCGCTCTGCCGAGTTTTATTTTCTATTGTCAGCGTTGGGCTTTTTGAGTCAGCCATATCAGTCTCAAAAAGTTGTATGTCGGATAGGTTTCAGTCTGGATGTGACTACAGAGATATTTCGGGTTTAATGCTAGGATTTGTCTGAATTTTTTCAACAGAGGTATACTGTCCAATCCAGAAATTACCTACCTACTGGATAAAGGATATTTATTAAAAAAATAGGTAACTAAAAGGTACGAAAATGGGATAAAGCATGCCTATTTAGTTTAAGATATTATTATTACTTGTCTGACCTCATCATAAAAAAGTTGCAAATGACTTTTTTCAATAACGAGGTCAAAAGATAAGCAAATCTAAGGAGCCTTTTTCAATATTAGGTTTCCGAAAGACAAATATCTCTCATTATTGAAACTTTGCGATTAGTTTTCAGACTCCGATCCAGAGCGGACCTTTTATTAAAATTTCGTTCATATTCACTAATCTGGATCGATTGGCCCCGTCGACCGGCTTTATCCCGGAGACCGCTTCTCTTTAGCGCTTTTGGAAATCATTTATTGTCGATCGACTGATTTCTAAAGATGAATAAAAGTAAATAATCGACCTGTGCTTTCATGCTGGCTCATTCTGTTTTCTTTTTTGTTTGCATTAGGTATCGGAGTCAAATCACTTATGTTTCTATTTCAATAATTAAAATATGATAAGATTTTTCTACTGACGTTTTATAATACGCTTATTAAACGATTAAAATCTGTTTCATACATAATGAACTTCATTATGATACAGATTTTTCAGCCACTGGAATCGAGTTATTTTGAACATGAACAATGTTTATATAGAAATAACATACTTGTTTTGGAATTTTGGATTATTTCTATTAGTATTTACCAAAAGAAACAACAAAAAATTAATAATTTATACCCAAATGACGTCTAAATCTTAATTTTCGAAATTGACAATAGATGGCACCACTAGTTGAGAAGTTGTAGGGACTGCGATCCCAGATCATCTCTATCCTTTTTCTTCGTGCACATCTCTCTCTTGTCTTGTTTGACAAGTGGGAAATTGCCGAGGTTTAGTTTTTGAGGTTAGGTTAATATTGTGAGATTATTATTCGATGTGTAAACGTTTAGTCATGTTTTATTGGTGAGACTTGTGCTGGGCTGAATAATTAATAAAGTTAGTAATGTTATTTGTCCTGTGCCAGATTAAACCTGTCCTGAGGTAGCTGAACAGTTGATGACGGACGTAGGCCGTCTGCTTGGTCAATTCCCGACGAGCAAAAATATCCACAATACCTACAAAGTCGAGGGCACTCACTTAGGAAAAGTTCCTGTCACGCATGTCATATGAAAGCGGAAGGTGGATTCAGTGACAAGACCAGCATCCATGACGTTAGCAGTTTTTCGGCTGCCATAATTTAGTAGTTTTCTCATGCTTTTAGTTCAAGTTTTAATAAAGTATAAGTGCCGCAATATTACACCGCAGTTCTCGTTTGTCCTGCCTGAAGCTGTGGCCCGATAGACGCCACAAATTGGTGACCTCGACGTGATCTAGGCAGAGCTCGTGAACTTTCAGTGCTATCTTTTTGTTTGGAACTGTTTCCGGAAAGTTCCGGCGTTGTGGTGAAATGTTTGGTGCCTTTGGTGGACGTTCACGCGCGAGATCACTCTCTCCTGATCCTACAGCAAATCTCAACACTGCAGCGCAGCGAGTAGCAATGGCAGATCCTTCAGGTACCCTAGGTGGGCGTGAAATTGCTCAGGCTCGTTTAGCTAAATTACCACCTTTTTGGAAAGAAAACCCAACACTTTGGTTTTCGCAGGACGCCATGTTCGCGATATCTCGTATCACTGCCGACACTACTAAATTTCATTACATTGTGGCTAACTTTAACACCGAACCACTACCTTTTGTCTCTGACATTATTACAAATCCACCTGCTCAAGATAAATATGATACTCTGAAAGAGCGTTTGATTAATTTCTTCTCTGAGACTAATGAGTCCAAACTACGTCGAATGTTCAGAGGCGTCGAGTTTTTCGACGAGAAACCATCAAATTTCCTCCAACGTCTCCGAAATTTGGCTGGCAACCAAGTAGGTGACACTGTTCTACGTACCTTGTTCTTGGAACACCTGCCTGAACAAGTTAGGGGCATCCTGTCCATCAGTGAGGTAGCGGATCTCACACGCTTAGCCCTGCAGGCCGATAAGAATATGGAAGTCACAAAGCCTACTATATTTGTCATCGACAAATATCCCAGTTCCAGTGCCTCAACAACAGCATCTAAGCAATCAATCTCCAATAACAGTAACCTGTCGGTTACTCTGGAAAACCTCACAGCCCGAATTGATGCAATAACACAAAACTTTGAACATCTAGATCAGCATGTCAGAGGCAGAGACCAGTCCAGACACAGAGCACGTTCACGGGAGAGAACATATTCCAGAAATCGTGATGAAAATGAATATTGTTTTTATCACCAGCGATTTGGTGCCAAAGCACGCAGCTGTCGTAGTCCTTGCTCCTTCAAGAATAAGCAACATCCTCAGTCGTCAAACTAAAGAGGTCTTTGTCGATAACAAGCGTCTCTGAAGGCTACAATACAGCATCCCGCTTGCAAATTCAAGACAAGTCTACCAGACTGCTATTTCTGGTGGACACAGGTGCCGATATTTCGGTTTTGCCTAAGAATAGTCTCAAGTCTTCTGTCAAAAGTGCAAAACCAGAAACAAACATGAAGCTTTAGGCAGCAAATGGCTCGACAATCGATACCTTCGGAACTACCACACTGACACTCAATCTGGGATTGAGACGCCCATATACCTGGACCTTCATTGTTGCGGCCTGCTGGTAGATCTTCAGAGGAAACGACTTCTTGATGCCAAAACAAAGCAGTCTAGGGTAGTACTGCTTGTACACTCTACACAGCCTACAGTTTGTACGGTGAGTTGGCAGCACCCTTTCTTTCACCTTTTGAAGGAATTTCCTGATGTAACAAGGCCAGTAGGATGCAAAGTACCAATTCATGGAGTCCAACATCAAATTATGACCCAGGGTCCGCCAGTTGCGGAAAGAGCTCGATGGCTTACTGGCGACAAGCTGCAGGCTGCAAAGGCAGAGTTTAAATTAATGATGGAACAACAACTGTGTGAACCTTCAAACAGTCCATGGGCCAGCCCATTGTACCTTGTTCAAAAAAAATGTGGTGGTTGGCAAGCATGTGGAGACTACCGGCGTTTGAACAAGGTCACAGTTCCTGATCGATACCCCATTCCGCATCTGCGAGATTTCACTTTTCAACTTTATGGATGCAATATCTTCTCCACATTGGATCTGTCTCGAGCCTATCATCAGATTCCTCTGGCACCTGAACATCGACCTAAAACTGCAGTCATCACACCTTTTGGACTCTTCGAGTTCAAGGTGATGTCTTTTGGTCTTTGTAACGCGGCTTAGTCTTTCCAGAGAATGATAGACTCGATCTTTCGAGGACTTGATTTTTGCCATGTTTACATCGATGACATTCTAATTACCTCAAAGTCTTCAACTGAACATGAAGCACATCTCCGCACAGTGTTGAACAAGCTGCAACAACACGGACTCTCAGTTAACATACACAAGTGTTTTTTTGCTCAATCAGAGGTAACTTATCTTGGCTACACTGTAGGCAGGAAAGGCATAAAACCTCCGCCAGAACGTGTAGAAGCAATACAGTCCTATCCAAAACCACAGACGGTTGCGGAACTGCGCAGATTTCTTGGTTCCTGGAACTTCTACAGGCTCAATATGCCTCATGCGGCTGAAGTTCATGCTCCACTTGTTGATCTCATTCCACCAGGCTTTTACACAGAGCTCCGAGAAAGCATCACCTAGACAGCAGCGACATTTGCAATACGTTAGTCAATTTACGACAAATATTGTCCATGTTTCTGGTGAATCCAATATCGTTGCCGATGCGTTTTCAAGGATCAACGCAATTCACATGCCTGTTATTGTTTCCACAGCAGAAATTGCTAACCACCAAGCAAACGACGAACAGCTTCGACATCTGCTTAGCTCTAATACCACTTCATTGCAGTTAAAAGAACCAAGAGTTGACAACACCGAAACGACTATCTTCTGCGATGTCGCAGGAGATCGTGTCCGCCCCTACATTCCTGTGGTACTACGAAGTCACATCTTTGACAACGTGCACAACTTGTCACATCCTAACGGACGAACAACTAAGAAGCAGATTCAAGAGCGTTTCGTCTGGCCACACATGAACAGAGACATCATACAATGGGCACTGACCTGTCTACCCTGTCAGCGAAGTAAGGTTCATCGTCACACTAAGAATGCTCCGCTGAAGATTGATAATTGATATTCCAAGTGAACGCTTCAATCATGTTCACATAGACATTGTCATTATGCCACCATGCCAAGGTTACAGCTACTGCATGACCATGATCGACCGATTCACTCGTTGGCCAGAAGCTATTCCCCTAAAAGATATCTCAGCAGACACCATTGTCAACATCTTCTTCAACGGATGGGTCAGCCGTTTTGGCGCTCCTGTTACTATCACTAGTGACAGAGGCTCACAGTTTGAATCCAGATTGTTCAATGCTTTGGCGAAACTCATTGGAAGGAACCGTACCCGAACCACGGCTTACCATCCTGTTTCGAATGGTATGATTGAACGTTGGCATAGATCATTCAAATCAGCAATCAGGTGTCAAGCTTCAAGTAACTGGGTCGATACCTTGCCAGTTGTACTGCTGGGACTGCGAGCTAGCATCAAAGAGGACCTTAAAGCCAGCGTAGCTGAAATGCTTTATGGTACAACACTCCGATTGCCAGGCGAGTACTTCATCGACGAGGAGGTGGGTCCTGAACCTCAAATGTTCATCGAAAAATTTCGGGTGATGATGAGAAACCAGCGCTCAGCCCCAGCCGCGCACCACTGCAGAGTTCGATCTTTCGCTCACAAAACTCTACACATCTGCACGCATGTTTTTGTGAGAGTAGATAAGGTCAAGAAGCTACTTGAAGCTCCATACCGTGGACCTTATGCAATCATCGAAAAACTAAATGATTACGTTTTCAAAATTGATTTGGATGGTACTCCTACAACCATATCTACTGAGCGACTGAAACCCACATTTATTGAGGTCGACCGATCAACCGGGACGACAACTGCAACCGAAGTTGCAGCTCCAGTTATTTTTCCGTCAGCAGACGCTACAACTGCGGCATTGATACCAGATAACTTGACCCTACCGAAGCCGTCATCTTCCCAGCGTTTCCCAGTTTCGATTCTTAAACCAGCGGTGCGCACTACACAGCCGCAACGCCCGCAACTACGTACATATCCTCCGGCCAAGTCCAAAAGAGTTCAATTCGTGGCTACTCATACTTCGCGCCACTCAGGGGGGGCTACCTGAGGGCACTCACTTATAGTTGTTGTATAGGATTTTAGGATTTTAGATTTTTAGGTTTTCAGGTTTTTAGGAAAAGTTCCTGTCACGCATGTCAGATGAAAGCGGAAGGTGGATTCAGTGACAAGACCAGCATCCATGACGTTAGCAGTTTTTCGGCTGCCATAATTTAGTAGTTTTCTCATGCTTTTAGTAAGTTTTAATAAAGTAAAAGTGCCGCAATATTACACCGCAGTTCTCATTTGTCCTGCCCGAAGCTGTGGCCCGATCGACGCCACAAAGTTTACTATTCTTGAAATAAATATGTATTTCGTTTATTAATGGAAGTAGAAAAAATAGTGTATGCAACTCTCCTGTAATGGCCATTAATACACTCGCCTGATGCGGCTCGTTTCGTATCCTACAACGTGCTGGTGTATTATTGGCTGTCATTACATGATCATTGCATAATATAACTAATATCATCTATGTATACTAAACATATTCTATTCTGTAATCCTAGTAATACATTATCCATCACTCTTTGGAAAGTTGCTGGTGCGTTCTTCAATCCAAAGGGCATTCTATTAAATTCGTAATAACCATTTTCAACATCAAATGCTGTCTTGGGTAGGTATTGAATGTTCATGCATCTCGACTTGATGAAAGCCAGAGGCTAAATCTAGTGTCGTAAAATAATTACTATGCCAAATCGGTCATCAGTGATATTAGTTAGTGGATATCTATCATCATCAATAGTTTTTTCGTTTATCTTTCAATAATCAACGACCATTCTCCATTTTTGTATGCCTGCGGCATCTTCTTTAGGTACTATCCACACAGAAGATGACCAGGGACTACAGGATGGTCTGTTATCTTCTAACATTTTCTTTATTTGAGAATTTACTTCTTGTTTATGCACATGTGGATATCTATACGTTTTCATATGCACTGGTATTTCATATGTTGTTTTAATTTCATGATTGACTTGATTAGTGAATGTCAATTTTGTTGAAATGATGAATACGTAGTGACTTTATAGGGTCATTTGCATATTCATCATTTTGTAATGAAGCCATTTGTTCTATATTAAATATCTTAAATTGTTCCTCAGCATAGGTATACTTATTTCCGCTAAGTTATGTATAATATACGAGAGAATAAAAGTCTTATTCATTAAGTTGTGTACTTCTAGAGGCAGCATCTCATTTATGACTGTTGTTATTGTCGAGGGAATATATGTTTAATTTTTTTTTGATGATGTAGGAATTTCAACGCCATCGGCTATATTTGTATTGAAATTACATACTTCAATCGAGTTGCTTGAAATCTCAAAATTTTGATTCTCGAAATCTGTTCTATATTGAAATGGAATTGTTGTTTTATGATTTGAAAGAAGCATATTAGAAAAATCTATATTTAAATTATTTTCTTGCAATACTTTGATTCTAATAATTCCATCAAAATAGTCATTTATCATTGTCATGTTGTTTTGAATATTATTATTTTTTTAAATTGGGACATTGATTTTAGAGGAACTACAATCTGTTATTTAGTCTCCGTGATATTATACAGGGTGGCGTATAACGATATAAGCAAGATTCATGACCAAATGGAACATATTATTATATATACGTATATTATTCTATATTTTCTATATGCATAGAAAATAATTTTCCACTTTCTCTAACCATTGTACTATTGCGGCTTCTTTTGCTATAAAGATTACCCTCAATTTTGAACGATACTTAGTAAAACCCCATAGAGTTCGGATGGAATAATCTAAGCGTTCACGCTAATTAATGGTACAAAAGGACGTATCCGCGCAGGAAATTAGCCCAAAAACGGAGAAGATTCTTAACGCCTAATTTGGCCGATAAATGCGTCTAAATAAATCCACAAACATAGCCCCCTATTCTAAATCCTCGCAGGCATCATCAATATAAATTTGCCTTTCTGCGTTTATTCTCCTGACGTCGTTAAAAGAG